AAAAAATTGAAATAATTTAGTTATGTTCTTTATGATTATTTGGATTCTACAAATAATGAACAAAATATATGTTAGAAATATCTGCGATGATTTATATAAGTTTTTAATAAATTATTTCTTTCGTCAATTTAAAAATTTCCATTAAAAATATTTTTATAACAATATTCGATTTTTTTAATTTGAAAATTCATGAAAAAAAACTCAACTAAATAAACAGACTTTCTTATATTAATTAGATTGGTAGTACTCCATTTTCTCTTTTATTTTAAGTAGAATTGAGAATTAATGCATTATATTTATCATATTTTAATCAAAATATTATATTACTTAAGAATTGAAAATAGAAACTTTTTAACAAATTCGAACTGTATATAAAAACACTTTTTACTTTTTTCTTAGACAATAGATTACATATAATGTATCATTTACTCTGTATTCGATATTTTTGAGTCTTCTATTTCATAACATGATGGTTCTTGTTAAAATATTAAAGACGAGAAAATTTATCAAAGTCAGATTAGAAAGTTTTTAATTTTTTTTGCCACCACATGGCTCATTTTCCTTGATTCCTGTTTTTTTCTGTTTCATAGCAATCAGCGCAACAGCTGCGAATTTTTCTACACAGATCTTTCTATTTTTTTGAGTTTGTGATCAGCGAGTTTGACTTATTAATTGTTGTCTATTGCATAGTTTTCCTTATATATTAGATAGTTATTCACGATTGAACTTATCGTTAGTCGTTTTTCTTTGTAGGAACTTGGGGCTTCGAAGGATTCATTTCATTCAAATAGTCAGCGTTGTCTTCTCTATTGATTTCTTCTGGCGACATATTAACTATTAAAAAATTTTGATAGGTTTTACACGAGAGAGAGAGCTGAAGAGATACGAATACGAGATAAAAATGTGGATATTTCGTTCTGTTACCTCTCACATACTGCATACTGTACATGAGAGAATGAAAAAGCAACTTGAGTCATTTTATTGAGGTAGACGCGAGATTCGATTTACTATCTTATTCGAAGGTAAAAAGAGAACGGAAAAAACCAATGGAGCAGAAAAGAAAATGAGTAAGTAGATTTTTTTGGAAGTTTGTTGTTTGCGAGATCATTAAATTCCATTATTGATTTGATTAAATACTGAAGGAAAAAGTTTTATTTGTTTTTTGCTAAACAGAATTAAATAAACAAAACATTTCTTGCAATGATTGATTAAGATTAGAATAAACAATAAATTTTTCTGTAAGATTAATTACATTATTAGATATATCGTAATTATTATTGATCATACAAAAAAAGTCACTATTCTTGAAATTCTTGAAATTTTTGGAATATTGTTTGAACATTTTCAATAGAATCTCATTCAATCGGGAAAACACTTTTTTCTTTACGATAACATTGAGAAAAATGGTGCTATGTTCTATAAAATATCATCCAAAATAATGAAATTATAGTGATTCTTATTGATATAATTATTAATTTTGAAAAGAAAAAGTCAAAGAATTTGTTTTTGTTACTCATAATTTCAATTCATCTTTTCTTTTTCTTCTCATTTTTAGAATAGAAATTAAAATTTCTTTAGATTTAAAACTATATCAACTGTATTTTATAAGATATGCCTTGGATTCCATTTCATCGATGCATGTCACTGTTTTACAAAAGAATACTTATATTTTGCTGCGTTATAAGTCTTATATCAATAATAAAGATTTTATTAAAAAAATCAAAAAATATTCTATTGTTCAAAAATAGATTCATAGTGTGAAGTAACAACTTTCATATACGACATTACAAAGTTTAGAATAATTATTTGTTTAAATTTACAACAAAAGTAAGTGAGAATTATTAGAATGAATTTCCTATTTTTTAAAATAAATTCAAATAATCGCTTTCGTAATAATGAGTCAATCATATGAAATCAGTTAATTATACTCGAATCGATAGATATTTACACTATTCATCAACTAGTTAAGAATTAAAAATGTATACATAATGATCATCGATAACACATATATATAATATTCATTAGTAAATGTTGAAGATCAAATTAGCTTTGCTAAATACAGAAAAAAGAGTATCATTATCATAGTGAAAATATTGAATAATATGTAGTCATTCAACTAAACAATTGTCAGTACAGAGTATAAATAAAAATACGATGCTTTAAGTAGCAAACTATCTTGCCTTGAATAATAGTAAGATTACGAAAGAATTTTTTATACAAATAAATATTGAATATAATTCTACTAAAATATTTTGTATTTATTTTATTCTGATAAGTTTTTATCTGTGACAAGAAAATTATAGAATCATTTCTATTTTTCGATTGTGGAATATCTATAAGTAGATATTCTCATTTGTTTTGTTATCTTAAATTGTTTCTATTTTGTATGTATATTTTGTCTAATTATAGTGCAATCAGTGATATTAAATAGCAACTTACATCATTTGACATTGGACTTATCGACAAAAGATTAGCAGATGTTTGTGGATTCACTGATACATGTAGAAAAACAATTTGAAAATATTAAATCGAACAAATGGAATGTCTCCTGGTTTTAGTGAACGAAAACAATTTTGTGAAGTTTATAAGAATGATTTGGAAATAAATCAAGTCAATATATTTATGTGTTTTAATCCTGTAGGAATGTGTCAATTATTTATGCCATTTAATCGAACAATGATATGAATATTCCATTATTTTTTCCATCACTTGATCTTTTAACTGACTTGAATGGTATTATAATTATCGTGTTGTTGAAAAGCGAACTTGGAGTAGAACATTCGCACAATTCAAAAATTCTTTGGCTATATCAGGTGTTTTAAGTTCTGATATTTCTAATCCAAATAATGAATTTGATCGAAATGCAATATATTATTGGTTACAATTTGCTGATTTTTTATCAATGACTACATAGAATTCATTTCGACTCTATTGCCGATCTTTGTATGAAATTAATTAATACTAATCTAGCTGAAGTTAATTAAAATATGAAGATATACAATGCAAATTGAAGAAAAACTTTACAGAAACTATGGCGTGCAACATTTGAGAGAATATAATAAAAAATACATTAAATATCATTCATACCAAAATGAATCTATAAACATTTGAAATACACGCAAAACTATTTTCTTAATTTGGCATATTTAATGAATTTAAATACGTTCAAACTATTTACTTAAATTTGATTTAGTCTATATATCGAATTATGCGTGTCTTTTTTTCAATCTGTTATGGATTTTCTGTAAATTTTTATCGATTCACAGAATCAAATCGAAATAAAATATTGTAGAAAACTGAATCATTTATGATGTTGTATTACTCTGAACGTTTATAATAACAATAGAATATTCAATATGATTGTGAATAATAATTATTTATAATACGAATATAGATAAATACGTATCTAGTTTATTATAGTGGAAAAATCTTCAATATATTATATTTCGTGAAAGCAATCAAACGATTTTTTATTTACATTCTCCATTTTATCTTTCACACAAAAGTAGTTATTATATTTTAAAGTCATTGAAAATTGTTTTTAATGCTCATACCTGTAAACATGTATCTCTTTGATATAAATCATCACAAAATTTTTGATTTTACAGGAATAAAAAATGATTTTTTTATGCACATACTGATAGGCATGTATGTCCTTGATATAAATCATAATAAAAATTTTTATTTTTCATTGACTGATAATTATTTTTAATGAGCATATAGATAATATGCATACCCTTCAATTCTGTCATAACAAAATTTCGTATTTTACATTGATTGATAATTATTTTTTATGTGCATACAGGTGAGTATGTATGTTTGTAATATTTCTCATGAAAAAAATTTGTAATTTTCATTCGATCAAAATAAATTTTGATGTTCATCAACGTCAACATTTCCCTCCTAGGTACTTGCCACAACACAGAATTCGTCAGTCTCTAGTAATCAGTAGTGAATTTCCTCTATTTAACGTTTTTGAAATTAAACAGCACGTCCACATTCTACTCATTCCGTTTAATATCAATGATTTAAAGCGTAGAGGTAAAATTTTCTTCAGTGCAGCGACAAATGGTGAACTTGCTATAGTTGATGACTGTTGAAATTGATAGAAACGTCGAAATTCTACTTGATTTGCATCAACGTCAATGATTTGCATGGTAAAATGAAAACTCATTTTTATTTCTATTTTCGTATTATTAAATGAATTTAATTATTATCATTAGGGATCAAGAAATGTAATTCTGAGAAATGTAGCGAGAGATGGTCAATATATTGTGGTTGATGAGGGTTGAAATGCGTCGATACGTCGCGGCTCTCTTGATTTACATCAGTTTGAACAATTCTGACTGTAAAATTAAATTTTATTTGTATTTACATTTTCGTATTATAAAATCAGTCGTTTCTTTTCGGGTGTTTTAAGTTTCGTTAATGAAATTAATCTAGAATTTTGACATCTCACGCTTAAAAACAGGTAAGTATAATGTAAAGACAATTATATATTTAATTTTTTTTACAGAATTGATAAAAGGTCGATTAGGTTCATTTCGCGAACGCTCTGACGTTTTTTTTGTTGGTTTGACTTTTATTAATGGAACTTATCTCTTATCATGATATTCGGTGATGTATAGCGGATAATCATATATTGTAGAAAAATCGAGAGACATCATTTTGATCGGAGAGATTAGTAACCTGTTAAGTTTATTTCGTTGATGCGTTGTATCTATTATGATATATTCAATATGCTTTATGAATGTGAATATGAGTTATAAGGGTGTGGGTGTGGCCTTTAATTAGAACCTACTCTCACCCACACTCGTCTGAGTCGAATAAGTTTTTTTTAAGGATATTTTTCTATTTTTAAGCCACAAAAATAGACAAGATCATAGCTCTCCTAGACGTTTAAGATCCCTTTTATAAAATCAGACTGTTTGTATAAATATTTTTCTCGATTATTTTTAGATCAAGCTTTCAATTTTAATTTTCAGCATATTAGTTAAAATATGACAACATCGCACTATGTGTTATGTAATTTCTTGAATACAGCTCGATTATATCCTCAGAAAGTAGCAATCATACTTGACGATCAAGTATGGACTTATAGCGAGTTGATTATGCAAGTAGAACGTGTTGTATATCACTTACATCACTTAGGCGTAGTTCAAGGTCAAATAATATATCAATTTGTTGAAAGAAGTTTTGAGATGGTATGTGGCTTTTTGGCCATCATGTATATGGGTGGAGTGTATTGCCCACTAAATCCAACACTGCCGCCTGGTCGTCTCAATACAATTCTCGGACAAATGCAAGGTCAATATGTTTTAGTGCATGAGAAAACACTTGATCAATTTCCAATAGCAACTGTTCAGCATGTTATTGTATTGAATAATATTCTTTCTCCATCACTGGATATTGAAGTCATGAGTGATCTTCCAATTTCTAGGGAGTACGGTGCTGCATTTATCATTTTTACTTCAGGTACTACTGGACCACCAAAAGCAGTTGTTCATACACATAGAAGTTTTTCAGCTAGTATTTCTGCTCTTATTGGATGGGACGCCGGTATGTATACTGCTCGAGATCACATTCTTCAAGTAGCCGCAAGTTCATGGATTTCACATATTTGGGAGATCTCATTGTCATTAGCCGTTGGTGGTACTCTTGTGCTTCTGCGACAAGGTGGTCATTTGGATGTGGCCTATCTTTCTCGAACTATAATGCATCAACAGATAACGACAATAATGGCAGTTCCCGGAATAATTCGAGCTCTTACTAATTATATTGTAAATAACCAGCAATCGAAAATATTCGATACTGTGCGTCATCTGAGTATAGGAAGTAATGATAGACTTTTGATCTATTTTTGACACCTTAGTTTTTATTCGTTTTGCATAACTTAGGTGATGTAATGAAGCCACAAGAATGGACTGAATTTGTTAATTTATTAAGCTCTTCCAATGTCCAACTTTATGCTTCGTATGGTACATCTGAAAGTAATGTTGTTCTTGGATGTCAATTGCTAAATATCAAAGATACAGTTATTCCTATGGGATATCCATTCCCAACTATTCGATGTTTGCTAATCGATGATGATGATGGCAAGATTATTAATACTACAGATAATTCAAGTAAAATTGGACAAATTCATATAGGAGGTGAGTAGTGTCCGTCCAGATAATTTTCTTTTATAGTATGTATTTTTTATTAGGACCAACTTTATTCAACAGTTATTTAAATGACCCTGAACAAACCAACAAGAAGTTTACGATCATAAATAATCAAGTTTATATAAAAACAGGTGATTTAGCTCGATATAATACACGAGGAGAGCTTGTTTATGTTGGACGTGCTGATTTTCAAATTAAACTACGTGGTCAACGAGTTGAAACAACTGAAATTGAAAACACAATTATAAATTCGTATCCTGGCAAGATTTCCGACTCTGTTGTTACTAAATTGGCACAAAATGATGATCTACTTGTTGCTTATGTGGTCTCAAAAGAATCCGAGCTCGACACTGAACAAATTCGAAATTATTGCAATAAACATCTATATCAATATATGGTACCATCCTTCTTTGTCTTCTTGAAACAGTTACCTTTGAATGCGAACGGAAAACTCGATCGACGTCGTCTTCCAGTACCTGATATCTCGGTTCTATCGACTAATGCTATTGATCGTCAATATTTAGAACCGAAAAATGAAATGGAAATGCTAGTTCATTCCGTATGGTGTAAGATCCTTGGCTCTAATCGAATCTCAACGGGAACAAACTTTTTTAGTATTGGCGGTCATTCTCTTCTATTTATTCAAATCTATCAGCATTATAGAACGTTATTTAATTTTGATAGTGAAACAATAAATATTCGATCATTCCTTGACCATAATACCATAGCCGAACATGCAAAACTACTAGAAAATATTGAGAACAATAATATACAAACAAAACAATGGCACGCATTACATATTAATCAATGTAAGACATATAGAAACACTTCTGCATCGGGATAAAATAGTTTTCTTCTAATTTATAGGTATCGCATCGTATGCTCAAGAACGTATGTTTCTTAATGAGAAAATGCGTTATTCCGGAGAAATTGCCATTTACAACGAACTGATCGTTCTACAAGTTACAAAAGGTTTATTATCAATGAATCGTTTATTGCAAGCTCTTCGCTATGTCCTAAGTAAACATAAGATTTTAAGAACTTCTCTAGTTTTCAATGAAGAGGATAGTATTTTAAAACAATCTATCACTAATAAAAATCTGACATTTACATTGGCTGCCGATCAAACATTCAAAACTGAAGCCGATCTTCATAACATTATATCACAAATAAGTACTAATCCTAATTTGTTCGATTTATCAAGTGGTCGTGTTTTTTATTGTCAAATTCTCAGACAACAGAGGACACCTGATGAAGATCATGATGAAGAAATTATTACAAATTCTGATGTTCTCGTTCTCGGTTTTCATCATATTTCAATTGATCAATCTGGTATCGCAATTTTTCTAAATGATCTCTGTAATAATTACAATAGTAACAGGACGTGGTTAGATGATGAAGAATCATTCCAATATATTGATTATAGTATTCATGAGCGTCTAATCGATATGACGCTATCGTGTGAGTTTTGGCGTTCTCAACTGAATGGATACAATCAAGAATGTCGATTGTCACTACCAGTTGATCGACATTGCTTATATAGTGATCAACGATCTGGATATGCTTCTATTGCCCATATCTCATTTGATAATGAGATTCTGACATCATTTTTCGATTATGCATCTTCACATCAAGTCACACCATTTCAATTGTGTCTGGCTACATTCTATACATTTCTTTTCAAATTAGCATATCGACAAAATGATTTATGTATTTCTTGTCTTAATGCAAATCAATACAGACCTGAATTACAGAATATGATTGGAACATTTTTTTCAACATCGCCTTATCGACTTCAAGTTGATTCTGATTGGTCATTTGATGAACTTGTTGAACATGTGCGAGAAAAATGTTTATCAATTCTTGAACATTCTTATTATCCACTTCAACACATTCTTACTGACTCTCAACTAAAGCGGTCAAACATTCCATTTCTTGAAATAGGGCTCAACTTCATCACTCTCTCCGAAAAGACCCAATGGTCTATTGATACAACAATGCTGCAGCAGTTACCAATACAAGAATCTTATGGTGCTGCTAAATTTGACTTTGTGTTGACTTGTTCTTACAATCCAACATCCGATGAAAGTAAACTGTCATTCCGTCTAACCTGCTCGCGTGATTTATTTGATGAACCAACAGCTGTAGTCGTAATTCAAAGGTTTAAACATCTTAGCAACCAACTGTTTTCATCGAAATCAATTTGCAATGGAATTAATCCAAGTCTTACATCTATATCGAAACTTAGCTTGATTCTACAGGTAGAAGCTCGAGAAATTGAAGATGCTGTCTTTTGTCGACAGCAGAATATTGTCAATGAAGGTATGTTCGTATAATAATTTTTTTCTTTATTTTGTTTATAAAGAAATAGATAATCTTTGATGAATAATCTGTAAAAATGACAAGAAAATCGTTTTATGAACATGAATCATGCCATCACATCTGATATAAATAAGGTTGATGTTAGTTGTGAAGTTTTTGAGTTTCATCCTAAACCGTTGGTTAGCCCACATAATTAACATAACGTCTTACTGCATGGTATATATAACCTACCATCATCGATTGTTGTGTGTTGGCTGTCTGTCAGGTTTCTCTTCTTACTTCTCTTCTACGAGCCCCGAACTAGAAGCGTTTCTAAAATAAAAACAAAAACTTGATCGATCTCTCTTTTCTCCATAAATATGACCAATATTATAACGAGCATGGTCTTAAATATCGAGAACTAGTGCAAATATCTCAAAATCGATTGAAAAAAAACATTAGTTTATAAGCAAATTGAAGAGATTCGTGAAATAAACACGTTTTAATTTAAGCAAGTCTGATGAGTCGAAGACATTGATAATTACAATCAAGATAGGTTTCACCTAATTTATTAAGGAGATTTTTTTTCTATTAGTTACCGCAATGATTTTAAGTTTTGCATTTTAGATTCGGAGACTGCGTTATTAGCTTTCTTTCTTATCTTCCATAAATTCTCATAAAAACTAATTAACTAAATATTAATACTTCTAATCCAATTTATAATTTGAAAATGATGCTGAATTTGAATAAAATTGTTACTATAAATAATTTCCAATAGCCTGACTTGACTGTGTTTATAATCTTTCAAGTTTAGCCGGTCTTCAATGTTTTTTTACAACTTTCTATACGTTTTATGCATCATTCCAGTTAGCTCAGTAAAATTCTTTCATCATCAGCCATCAACATCATCGAAACATGTAGTCGTAATTTCAGTTATGACTGATTAATATCTCATTATTGATTGTAGCGCCAGCATCATATGCACAAGCTCGCATTTTGTCTGATGAACGAATTCGATTTGATCCACATAAACCAAAACTTGCAATCTACAATATGCCTTTTTTCTACCGTCTTAATAAAGGACATACTTTATCAATACAACAACTTCGACAGGCTCTTCAGCTGATTATTAGAAAACATCAATCATTTCGTACATTACTTAACTTTCATGCAGAAAAGGACTCATTTATGCAACGAATTGTTGACATCCATCTTGATAATAATAGATCACATGCATTCATCGAAAACATTTACGAAACACAGCAGCAACTCAATGATATTATGCATGAAGAAAAATCTAATCATCAACTTTTTGATCTTGAAAAGGGTACCATTTTTCGATGTCATCTTGTTTATTACAAACAAATCTCTTCAAATCATCTTATTTCTGACCAAGATGTAGTCATTTTCAATTTTCATCATGCTTTATTTGACTTTTCATCAATGAATATCTTTCTTCATGATCTCAATCAAGCATATACAACAGGTCAATTATTATATGATGACAACACTAATCTTCGTTATCTCGACTGTAATTATAAATACTACTTCTAATTTTCTCTTTTGCCTAATACATTCTTGTCTTTAATTTTATAGATGCTGTTATTGAACAACAAATGTCAATGACTGGTGCAAGTATGTTTTGGCTTGATGTTCTTCATGATTCTAAGCTTGATCAACCTTTGTCATTACCATTCGATCGATATCGTCTAGCAAATGAACATCAAACTGGTCGTGGAACATCTATTTCATTTGATTTTGGTCAAGATCTCTCACATGACTTCGTTACACATGCATCATCAAACAACATATCACTTCAACATCTCACATTTGCTATTTATTTCATCTTTCTATTTAAATTAACTAATGGGCAAACAGATTTATGTCTGGCTATGAACATCAATAATAATCGATATAGAGATGAACTCAAATCAATCATTGGATTATTTGAGAATGTCATTCCATTACGATGTCAGTTAGATCCTCATTGGTGGTTTCATCAACTACACAAACATATTCAAGATATAACAACAAAGAGTATGAAATATTCATATTTTCCTCTTCAACGTATTCTTGATCAACATCCATATATTTCAAAACATGCATTTTTGGATACATCCCTGGAATTTATATCATACAAGAATAATACTATAGTAATGATTGGTGATTCTCAACTTCTTCCAGGATCTGTCTTATTCAATATTAATGAAGATGAAATACTAAGTGCATCCGACTTCTCTCTTGCTATTTATCATGATTTGAACATGAATCAACTATCATGTACAATCAATGCATCACTTGACTTATTCAATAGAGACACAATCGAGAAGGTTTCACAACGATTTCATTTCATCTTAAATCAATTATCTGCATCTGTTATTGACAACCAAATAAACAAACCTCTCTGTGAATTATCATTAGTATTATCAAATGAACAATATCTAATGCAATCATTGAATAGCACACAAATATCATTTTCATCATTTCCTCTCACTTGTATTCATCATGAGTTTGTATATCAAGTAATGCAACATCCACAAAAACTAGCAGTTGAGCTTGATGAACAATCTGTAACATATGGTGAACTTTTATATTATGTCCAAGTATTATCTCTACACCTTATAAATAAATATGGTGTTGTTCCAGGTGAAATAGTTTGTCAATGTGTTGAGCGAAGTTTGTCAATGGTAAGATAGTTAAGATGACTAATAATTAATGTGGATTTGAGATTGATTTTCTGTAGGTGATCGGTATAATGGGAATCGAAATGGCTGGTGGTGTTTATTGTCCGTTGTCACCTCGAGATCCACAACATCGTTTGCATGCACTCATGGAGCAAACTGAAAGCCATCTAGTTCTTGTTCATCATTTAACAAAAACTAAATTCGGTAGTAGTTTTATTTTGTTTGACATTAGCTTGGTTTTGTCTAGCAGCAATGCAAATAGAGAAAATGATGTTAGTGGACTGGAAAATATATCAATTACACCTGATCATATAGCTTATATCATTTTCACAAGTGGTTCGACTGGAGCACCAAAAGCGGTTCGTAATGAAGATAATAATAAACGCTTATTATATTGTTGTCACTTTTATTGATAGATTCAAATTCGACATCGAAATATTAGCCAGGATATGAAATCTATGGTTTTTATTGATGCAGTTAACAGCAATGATATAGTTGCACAAACTGTACGTTGTTCATTCGACGTTCATCTTTTGGAGATTATAGGAACACTCATACTTGGTGGAACATTAGTTATGTTTCGTCCCGATGGAATTTTAGATCTTGAGTATTTTAGTTCAGTAATAAGAGAAAAACAGATTACTTGTATACAAGCTGTTCCAAGTCTATTTCGAACCCTGTTCAGCTTTTTTGTAGAAACGTATCAGTCATTTCACAGCTTATGTTTACGATCTCTTTGTATCAGCGGTAAGATATATCGAAACAAGACTGTATAATTTCAAACTTCTTTTCTTCTTTCAGGTGAAGCATTCACTCCTGATTTAAGTAAAGTGCTGGCAAGCTGTACAGCAGAAACATGTCTCATATGGAATATATATGGTCCAGCAGAAACAATAAACTCCACATTCCAACGTGTTTATCCAGCAGCAAAGATAACAATGATTCCAATCGGTTTACCAATGCCAAACTATCTATGTCGCATCTTGGACGCATATATGCAGGCTGTTATCATTCGTGAAGAAGGCGAACTGTACCTTGGTGGAGTGGGTGTCTTTTCTGCTTATCTTGGACGAGATGACTTGACAGCAAAAGCTCTTATTGAAATAGATGGTCAACTATTTTATCGAACAGGTGATCTTGTCAGAATGGGTCCTGAAGGTTTACTTTATTATATTGGAAGAAATGATTATCAAATCAAACTACATGGACAACGAATTGAACTTGGTGAAATCGAACAATGTTTACTTCGAACATCGATTTCAGCTTCTGTTGTTATCAAATGGAAGGATGATCATTTAGTTGCTTATGTTCAAAGTTCTGATATTAATGAACAGGAATTGCGTGAACACTGTCAATCACATTTACCACCACATATGAATCCATCTCTCTTTGTTGTACTTGACAGATTGCCATTGAATGCAAACGGTAAAATAGATCGAAAACTTCTTCCACCACCTAACTTTTCATCGATGTATCTCACAAATCAGGATAAATTATTGTTACCAATGAATGAAATTGAAATCATCATTCATCATATTTGGTGCGATTTGATAATACAAAAACAAATCTCAACTAACACAAATATCTTCACTCTTGGTGGTCATTCACTTGTCATTATGCAACTCTTCCACCGATATAAAAAACAATTTCACCTTGAGCCAAATACTCTTTCTATTACTGATCTTTTTCAATATGCAACAATTATCCAACATGCTCAACTTATTCAGCAAATCAAAAGTATCAAGCACGGTATTCATGATTATCGGTGGCTTTCGTTACATATCAGTCAAGGTGAAAGAACTTTTCAAAGTTACTTCTAAAAATAATATTTACGTTTATTGTTTCAGCCCCAGTATCTTATGCTCAAGAACGTATTTTCTTAGATGAACAAATTCGATTTTCATCAACAAATAATAATACTAACATATATGTTATTCCATTAATGTATCGTGTTTCATCTATGAATGATCATATATCTATTTCACGATTACAACATGCATTTCAATCTATCATAAGAAAACATCAAATTCTTCGAACATCACTTTATCTTGATATGAATGGTGTTATTGTGCAAAATTGTTTAGATGTAAATGCTATTATTAATGATAAGAAATCATCTAGATTTTCGATGATTAATCTTCCTGATGAAGAACATGAACAGAATGAAACTGTAAAGAAGATTTTAAATAAATCTGATTTGTTTGATTTATCGAAAGGACATGCTATTAATTGTCATATTCTTCGTCAAGATCAATCAAATCATTTATTCACTCAGAATAATGATCTATTGACTAAAGACGATCTGATATTATTTACTATTCATCATACTTGCTTTGATGGAGCATCGACATCAATCTTCATTCATGATCTTTCTGTTGCTTATCAATCTAATGAGTTGCTACCTATAGATGATAATTCATTACAATATATTGACTATTCGATTCATGAATATATAATGGATATGACATTATCTCAAGAATTTTGGTTATTAGAACTCAAAGGACATAATCTTACGCGCCAGTTATCATTGTCTGTTGACCGACAACGTTCATCAATCAATCAACAACGATCAGGTTTAGCTTCTACAGCTCAAATCACGTTTGATGATGAAATATGTACGTCCTTTCTCACCTATGCATCATCGCATCATCTCACACTCTTTCAACTTGGATTATCCATATTTTATGTCTTCCTATTCAAATTAGCTCATGGTGAGAGCGATTTATGTATTTCTACTATCAATGCTAATCGATATCGAAGTGAATTAGTGAATATGATAGGAATGTTTGTTTCAACATTACCATATCGTGCTGAGCTTGATCCTCATTGGTCATTTGAGAAAGTAGTTAAATATGTACAAGAAAAATGTTTATCAATTCTTGAACATTCTCATTATCCACTTCAATATATTCTTGCTGATTTACATGTCACTAAATCAAATATATCATTTCTTGAAACAATGTTTGATTTTATCACTATATCAAAAGAGGTAGATGATTTATGTTTGAATGGTGTCAATCTAGAACAAGTATCGTTAAATCAATCATATGAAATGGCTAAATTTGACTTCTCATTGAAATTTGTACACAATCCATCATCAGATGGTAATCAGCTGTCTTGTTCTTTTGTTGGTTCAAGTGAACTGTTTGATAAAGTAACAATGACACAAATGACTCAAAGACTTTATTATGTTTTTGAGCAAATTTTTTGTTGCAAATCAAAGAATACTTTAATAACTGGATGTAACACACCGATCAACAAACTTACTCTTATTTTACAAGAAGAAACCGAAGAAATACACTCAATAACGTTTCATAAATTGAAGAATATTGTTAATGAAGGTATACCCATTTTTAAAATATTTTCAAGTCTATAATACTTATATCGATGAAAAGCATTAGCGTTAAGGAAGGGTACAGGTGAAATAACATGAAGTATTATGTTTGAACTATATGATTTCTTCTTTGTTGAATTGAAAATGTGAAGAAGTAACATCGAATTATTGCGATAGTTTTTCCAATTCAGACCTCTTCTCCTTTTTTCGTTCATCTATTTGTAGTGTCTTTTACTCTTGCACGTGTATATCATATGAGCATTATTTGAAAAGCTAGCGAAACTTCAGATCTCAGCCACACTTTTCAAGATAGACTATTTTTTGTAATCTTGAACAATATATGAAACGTGCATTACACACACTAATGTTTACTGATGAGAGCTCAATTAAACAAGATAATACTAGATTCGTCGAAAGCCTTTTTAGGAAAAGTATTCTCATATTGATTTAAAAATTTATAAATAATAGCTTTTGGTACTCATCGTTGGTTCTGATGCAAATCTCGGTCAGTCATATCTTTAAATTTCGTATTGTTCACTCATGTAACTAGTAACAATATTGAGTTAATTCAGTTAGAAAATAGATAAACAAAAGTGGCCATACTATTATCAGAGAGCAATTGGTTAATATGATCATTCACTGTAATCAACTAAACTTTAATTATTATAGCACCTGCGTCCTTTGCACAACATCGAATATGGTCAGAAAATCAAAGAGATGTCAATACTGATCAGTCAACTTTAACGACCCATAATATGCCATTCTTCTATCGTCTCTACACAGGAGATATTTTATCTGTAAAACAACTTCGTCATGCTCT